AACCCAGGGCTCAGCGGTGTTCGTGCTGTAAAGTTTGGAACCCCTGGCTGGAAGGGGCTGGCTTCCCTTCACTTACTAGTAAGTTATCCTAGGACAGGCCCCAGGGCCCACGCAATAATGACAACCCTAAATCATCAGCAGAGCAAATGATGCCAAATAAAATCAGGCTCCCAGGAGGACAGCTGTTAAACAAGGGCTTCCACAGCATGTGGGCGTGCCCTCTTCAGGCTGGTACCTCCCACGTCTCAGCCACGTTCCATGTCAGGTAGTCGCAGCAATCCCCGCAGGACCCAGGATTCTTCTTCGCTGCCAGGCCTGGGTGGCTCCGTGGAGCAGTTGGGTCCCACCCCAGAAACAACTAATTTCAGCCAGGAGTGAAACGAGCCCTGCCAATATCCAGCGCAGTGGCGGTGCTGGGAAGCTTGATTAATGTATGGAGATTTGGACAGCACCCCAAGATCCGTGGGCGGAAAGGTTCTTAAGTGCAAAGTGCTGAATCTATTGCCTGTTCGCTCTCGTCTGCCTTCCATGAGCTGGTTGCTCTGCGGTTCTGGCCGTGGGCATCTACACATCCAGAATTCTCTGAAGGATAATAATTTGCATCCAGGCCTGCAACCTTCCTCTCCACCCCCTACCCCTGCAATAATTGTTTCTTATCGGGCCTTGGAAGTACCCAGACACCTGAAATCTCTTAGCTCAGTGCCACTTTGCACCAACTTCTGGCCCCAGACAGTAACTACATGTGGGTACTAACGTTCCTCCCCACACACGGTCCTGGGAGTAGTGTGTGTAACACACCACAGGAAACAAAGGCATGGGAGAGCTGTGGTTGCCAATCTTCCCCCACTGAGACCCTGACCCAGGCCCTGATCCCCACGCTGAGATCCAGCCCACATAGGGCAGCACAGGTGCCAGGGCAAAGGGCCATCAGTAGGGGCCAGTCCTGCCATAGATCCTCATTTAGGGTTGCCCTGCAGCTCCACCAGTTAGTGCTGCCCAGCTAGCGGCAATCCAAGGGGACATGCTGGCCCAGGGCCGGGCAGGGAGGGAAGACCGGCACAAGCCCTGCGGTTCCCGCAAAGGGCGCTGCACTGGTCCAAGGGGTTGGACTTTGCCTGGCCAGCGAGGGCTCAGCCCCCCCCCACAACTGGGCCCCATGTGTACAAGCCACACAAGCCTGGGGTGTACCAAGTCAGCACGTTGTGTGTCTGCGCCTCAATTTGGAAGAGGAAATGCCACTCCAGGCTTGCGGTTCTGGCTGCTGCGTTCCCTGCTTGCAGGCGGGGTGTGCCGGGGCAGGCAGGGGACACACGCTGAACATGTTCCCAAGCATGTACGGAAAGCTCAGCACCATTCTCTTTAAAGGGCAATGTTTTCCCTCCAGGGCTATGTCTACACTGGCCGGTTATTGCACAAGAACGGCCGGTCTTCCGCAGAGCGCAGAGCATCCACACCGCCCACCCTCTCTTGCGGAAGAAGATTTACAGTACGGCGGCATGGTAAAAGAGGGCTTCTTGTGCAAAAGCGCCGCTCTTTGTTAACAGGTGTAAGCCCTCTTGCACAGGAGCTCTTGCACAAGAGGGCAGTGTGGACGCTCAGCAGGGATTTCTTGCACAAGAGAGCGTCCACACTGCCATGGGTGCTCTTGCGCAAAAGCACAGCTCGCACATGGCAGTGTGGACATTTTCTTCCACAATACTTCTTGCGCAAGAAGCCGCGAGTTGAGACATAGCCCTAGTGTGGTTATTGAGTACTTCCCATG